CGAAAACGCCTTCTCGATAAACGAATATCGAAAAATCCTTTTTTTTCGATGAATGAGTATCGAAAACTTTTTCTCGATGTTTGAATATCGAAATTTTTTCCCGATATCGAATATCGAAAAGTTCTTTTTCGGTATTTGAATGTCGAGAACCATGTTTTCGAAGTTCAAGCTGCGAGAAACGTGTTTTCGAAGTTCAATCTGCGAGAAATGTGTTTTCGAAGTTCGTCCGCGAGAACCCTGTTTTCGAGTTCAAATATCGAGAAACCTGTTCTCGAACATCAAATGGCGAGAAACCTGTTTTCGAATATCAGCTGCGAGAAACCTGTTTTCGACCTGCAATCTGTGAGAAACATGATATCAAAGATTAACATCGAAAAGCTCAAGACTTCGAAAACTTTAGAGTTTCGTACCAGTTTAGGATATCGAAAACTTTGCCTTTTCAAAAAGGTCAGAACATCGAAAACTTCCTTTAAAAACCTTCAGAATTTCGAAAACTTATTTAATCATTGGAAATCTGTAAACATCGAAAAATGCTGTTAAAGTTTCGAAAACTGCCAAAAATATCAAGATTCGAAAAATCCTGAGTTTTGAGAAAAGCCAGAGTTCGAAATATACTAAACATCGAGAAACTCCAAAACGTCGAAATCTTTGAGTATCGAAAAGTTGCAAAAACAACAAAACATCGAAAACTCCATTTTCAAAAACACTTCAGAAACAGAATTTAAGGATGTTTTCAAACAGATTTTGATCCTAATCTTCCAGAAATCAAAGAAAATCGTTGAAAACAGATCAGCCAAACCAAAAATCTCGAAAAATCAGTTTTTCAAAATGGGTGGTTTTTCTCTAGAAATCAGTTTTGCAGATCCGAAAACGTAGATGAATCCAATCTATTTCACGCCTCGGCTCTGATACCACATGTTGATCCCTATTTCTAACAATCATACAATCATAGAACAGTGAAAGAAGAAGCAGATAGATTTATCATTCATATCAAAGTATCGAGAACTTTGGTACACCGTGTAAACCGGCCGCTGCTCTCCCTCTAGAGAGAGAGAGCAGCGTAAAAGCTAATCTATTCTCTATTCTGCCTCTATGCTCTATGCCTTAGCTAGGTTTTCTCATAAGTTAGCCTCCTTTTATAGGAGAGGATGGCTAACTTATGGCTTACAAGAGAGGCTAATGGGCTAATATTCAATTGTGGCCCATATTACACATTTAACTAACAACTACACAGATACAAAGACATCTAACTAGATTGGACACCAGAAAAAAGTCCTAACACAAACTTTTAAATACATCTCAAAAAGGAAAGTGTAGCAAACTTTAAAATACGGAGGGGGTATAATAGTTTAAATTTGAATAATATAAATAGATAATGTGTACTTTGTATTCAAAACTCTATCCGTTCATTACTTCTCTAGTTTAACTAAACACCTTGGACTTTGCGCAGCGACATAATACTTTGAGATGAAATCAATTACTTTCAAATAGGATGAAATTAAATAGGTAGCCCTTTGAGATGAGGCCAAAGAAACAACTATATCCATAATTGAAATAAAATCTTATATTAGCGAATACTTTAGTAAATAATACACATTAGGCTCAACTGAAATAAAATACATAATACGAAATAATAACCTTTCGTTAAAGTAGTTTTAGATTTGTGTTACTAGATAGCATGATAAAAGCTATGAAAATTTGTATGATAAAAGATTAGGCTCAACATAAATAACCATTGGAAGAATTCCTAATCTTTCCAATGCTCCCTAACCAATATGAGGCACTTTGTAATTGTTGTGATCCTTGCATTTTAACACTTCTACCATTACATGGCGCAAAGTTAGCCACACATGGTTCGGATTTCTTGGGTCTAACTCATGAAACGATTCATGAACATGATTCACTAGAATATCAATATTTCTATATAGGTCCTTTTTATGTTTAAGTGAATCAATAGTCCAAAACATTGAGATCCGGGCTATTAGGTGGTTGACAAATTAAGGAAATATCCCAACCATTTTCTGTTGTAACAACTATAAATTCACTGCCATGACTGTCGATATGTGGCTTCACATTATATTGTTGTATGCCTACTTTTCTGCTTCCTCCTGGATATTTTTGTTTGATCGCTGACAATACTTTTTCAATCATGAATTCCTTCACAACTTCCCTTGTGAAGCTCACAATTGGTTTAGTCAACAGTGTTCCGTTTTCCCTATTTTTGCTTTTTCGTTTAGCAGTATCTTGATAAGTGAAAGGAAAATTTTCAATTTTTCCATCTCACAAAACATCTCCATTTTCAGAAATTCTAGGCCTTCCAACAACCGCTGGAAGCATAACTTCATGAATAAATCTTTTGCTTTGAACTGCTCTATAGGGGTCACGCTCATTCGAGTGCATATAGACATGTTCATTTTCTCTAGTTAAATTGAACCACTCTTCATCTATATGCACATAATTATAAAAATCATGAAATGTGGGATTGGACGGAATTGTGTTAGCAAGTAAATTTCTTAAACACAAATGCATTCTTGTTGTCTTACCTTTTTCAGTAAAAAATGACTTCAAAGCATTTGAGTGTCGCTTGATTTCCTTCATCTTCACATACCTTTGAACTATTAATTTAGAATATTGCAGTTCTACTGCCAATGACCTCAGTGTGCTTCTTCTGTGAATATGGATTGTTTTGATTTGTTCCTGATTTATTGCAATTCTCTTTCTACCTAGGCATGACATCAATCTCTTACCCATACCTCATCTGTGTCTGCACTCTCTGCCAAACTCCACAAATTGTGCCCCTTGACACGCTAACTTGATTAGCAACAGACTATATTATGCCTTTATTGATTTGCCTATTCACACATTTGGCTAAAAGAGCCTTCATTGCATTGTTTCTCTCTGTTTCATTCAATAAATGGTACTTACCTTTTTTTGCTAGAGTCACTCACACCGCCTCTCTGGTGTATTTCTTCAGGTACTAGAGTTAATGCAAGGTTTGTTGGAGAGGGAGTATATTGCTGCAGGTCAACACTTGGTGACACTGAAAAAGAAGTGTTATTATATATCCATTTAGATGATAGATGGGTAGTACCGTGGAGTAATACAAGAACAAGCCTCTTTGTATTTATTGAGATGTAGTAATGGATGGAAAGGGGAAAATTTTAAAGTTGTTTTCTGGAAATTTTTGTATTTGCCATGTATTTCCCTCCATGTTTTTGGCTACGAGTTGTGAAAAGTCAATCCATGTATTTCACTTCACTGTACTTTGTAATTCAATCCATTGCACATCTTTCTTTAGTGTATTTTGTAATGCAGTCCACATCTTCCTTTATTGTACTTTGTAATGCGATCCACATATTCCTTTATTAATTAATAATTGGATTTCAAATGCTTCGTAATCTAGTGGCATGCTTTGTACTGTGCACTTTTTTTTTTTAAAATGGCTTGCGTCGTCAGTTAAGTGGAGGGAAATTTAATCCAGTCAAAGTTTTTTGTTTCTCCTTATTTTTCATGTCAGTCAATATTGGCAAATCAATTTTGAACTTTTAAAAAGGTACAAAAATATCCCTCATTTTTATAAAGAAGCAATTCAATCCTTATTGACTTTAAAATTATTAAAATAAATTTCAAAAAAGACCAAAAATAAATTAATAAATCGAAAATAAAAAAAAAAATTTGAAAATGTAATTATGTCCATTTCTCCCTTTATTAAATTATATCACAATTTAATATTTTTAGTATAAAATATTATTTCAAAATATGTAATATTATAGTGCAAAGAATGCAAAAAATTATTTTTTCTCTACATTGCAAAACATATGTTAGCACCTTTTCGAAAGAATCTTAAACATATGGTAAAATTTTGAAATAATATTTCATACGTAAACACTATTAAATTGTGATATAAAAACTATAAAAGGGAGAATTGGACACTATTACATTTTTAAATTTTTTTAAATTTCGAATTTATAATTTATATTTGGGGTTTTTTGAAATTTATTTTATTAATTTAAAGTCAATAAGGATTAAGTTGCCCCTTTATAAGAAAACGAGGGATATTTTTGCACAATTTTAAAAGTTCAGGGGTATATTTGTCCCGAAAAATAGAACAGGGATATATCTGTTCCCACACCCATACTACAGGGGTATATTTGTACATTTTCCCTTTTAATTTATAATGTCATTTAGCTTCACAATATTATCTTCCTTCGCAAATAGAAGAATCATTAGTTTCTTTCTATTAAAAAATAACTATCTAGTTATGATTAATTAATGTTATTTATAAAAGCGTGACCTCCTAAGCGTATTGAGTATAACAATAACTTAGTCATAATAACTTATGTTCAATTTTAACATTTTAAATGAGTATGACATTATACTATAGTAACTACTCCGTATTAATCATATTTTTGTTAATCAATAACATTTTGAAGAAAAAACTCTTTATACAAAACATCAACCCATAAACAATATGTAAATATTCATGTTGACGATAAATATTGGGCATTCTCCTATTGTACAATCCGGCTTAAGGAGTGTTTGAAATTGATTCTGGTTATGTATTTTATAATTAAAAGTATAATCAAAATCAATTTTTCAGAAAGTTTGTTTCACTCAAGTTCTAAACAATGGACTCTAACAAAATTTTGAACTTTCGGAACACTTTTACATGTTCATCCAAACACTCCGATACTAACTTATTTTTTGTTTTTAATTAATAATCTTAAATAACACATCCAAAATTCCAAACACACTACACCCACTCGTATAAGCTCAAATAAAAAAGGCCAAACTTTTTTGTCTGAAAATGTCATTTTAAATACTGCCAAGAATTGTCATCAATTAATATCCACTTGTTTTTTGTTTTGGCATGATCAAGTACCACTAAAGCGTTGATTTGACGCCACCTCTCAGTCATAGCTTGGTTTTACACCTCTGCCCTCAGCCTCTCCTTTTTAAATTCGTTATAATAATCTCATCTTTTAAGCTTCTTCTCCATTCCATCACCCGCATTCATCATCCTTCTCTTTCTCTTCGCTGGCATGCCTTTTTCAATTCCTTCTGCCCCCTCCCCTTATGTTTTCCTTTTTGCTTGAGTAACTTAATCAATTAACATCCAACAATTGGATTACGTAAAGAATTAGAAAATTCTCATCAAAACCTGACCTTTTCCTGTAATATGTATTCCAAATTCCAGATCTGAAATCTCAACTCGGAATTTCAATTCTCGTTTTCGGTAAATGTCGATGTCTACCACGTATTGGTGTTACAGATGCAATAGGTTCGTAAGGGTCTGGACCCGAGATTCAATATCATGCCCCGATTGCAACAGCGGCTTCATCGAGGAGGCAGACAATCCGGCGAGATCCTCAGTCTCCGAATCTCGTCGCCGCCGTTTCCCCGCCGCTGCTGCGATGTACATGTTGCCAAATTCGGGTCTAAATTCCGGGTCAAGCCCGAGGTTCAGGAGGAGCAGAAGAAGTGGGGGAGACAGATCTCCGTTTAACCCGGTGATTGTCCTCCGAGGGCCGTCCGACAACGGCGGTGGTGCTGGGTTTCAGCTATACTATGACGACGGGGCAGGGTCGGGGTTGAGGCCATTACCATCCACCATGTCGGAGTTTCTACTCGGGTCGGGGTTCGACAGATTGTTGGATCAGTTGGCCCAGATTGAAGCCAATGGGCTTGGAAGAATGGAGAGGCCGCCGGCGTCAAAAGCGGCGATCGCTTCGCTGCCCACCATTGAAATCGTGGACTCTCACATAGCTTCAGAGTCCCATTGTGCTGTTTGTAAGGATCCATTTGAGCTCTGTAATGAGGCCCGGGAAATGCCCTGCAAACATTTGTACCATTCAGATTGCATCCTCCCATGGCTGTCACTGCGAAATTCATGCCCTGTTTGCAGATATGAACTCCCCGCCGGAGACTCGGAGGAGCCAAACAGCGTGCCATCAACCAACGACCAAAGCGCCGCCACGGCCAACGTAGATCAAACCGTGGGGTTGACAATATGGAGATTGCCCGGGGGAGGATTCGCCGTGGGAAGGTTTGCCGGCGGAAGAAGGGGAGGGGAGAGAGAGCTTCCTCTCGTGTACACTGAAGTGGACGGCGGACTCAACGGAAATGGAGTGGCGAGGAGGATTTCTTGGGGGAATGTGGCGTCACGGAGGCGAAGTGGTGGCTTGAGGAGGGCTGTCCGGAACTTGTTTGCGTGCTTCGGTGGCGGCGTGACATCGTCAGGCTCGAGTTCGAGCCTGGGTTCAAGGATTACTCACAGTAGTGTGACGCCATCAGCAATCTGACCCGAGGTTTGAGGATAGCGATGACCTTAAAAAGAGAAGAGAAGAGAAGAAGGTTGATATCCTCAATCAAAATGTAAATTTGTAAACAATACAGGACTCTGTAACAGTATATGCGGCTCCCATTAGTAAGTGAGTGAGTTCTTTCTATACAAGTTTCTTTTACCTCTCTACTTTTTCAAACTCGTTATCAAACGGATTCTTTCTTAAGACCAGACCGATCAACTAATTGCAAGTTAGGAATTCAACAAGTTACCAACTATTGACGCTCAACTTTACCAAGAAAAAGCGAGACGTCAACTAATCAATCTTAAACAAGTTACTTAAAGCAGAAAAAGTGGGACATGAGGGCCCACTTATTGACATCCTTTTTACCAAGTACGTAGTAAAGAAGGCTTGATTAGTGGAGTAACTAACTATTGCCACTTAGCGACATTCAACAAGTTACCAACTATTGCCTGGGGGTGTGGAATGTCAAATCCTCCCTCCGATCAAGTAAAGAAGACGATCCCCTCAACCCACGCAATTCAATTAGTACATTGTTAACCATGAGAAATCGAGACGTTTGCAGGAATCAATAATTTTCGAGCAAAGAGTTGAGAGCTTGTAACACTACTCCTTAAGGCGTTTAACAAATTTTCTTGGTGCTCAGGCTCAGTCATAGCTTCGAGTATTTGCTAGCCGAGCTCTAGGCATCTCGGTCTGACACCCTTCTCGGCCGAGCAAGCTCTGCCTAGTCCTCGCTTTGCTATATGTGAGTTATTCTCATGTAGTAGGTGATCGACCTTTTCAAGAATTATCCCATGACGGCAACCATCTTCCCAAGGGTCATCCATCGAGTTTAGTCATCTACTCATCTTCTTCAAGGCCACCTACTATGAGCTCATCAAATTTCGCAACAGTCATCACATTAGGTTGGCCACCATCTCGAAGGTTATTCAATGAGTTTGGTCACCTTAGTGAGGCTCTTCGTGTGAGGTTGAGGGGCTGGTCATCTAGGCAAGGTCATCCCATGAAGTCGGCCATCTACCAAGGGTCATGTCATGAGGTCAAATATTTTCATGAAGATCATCTTATGAGGTTTGCAATTTCCCTGCAGGTTATCGTATAAGGTCAACCTCCCTTCTCAAGGGTCATCCCATGAGGTTGGCCACATTGCTCAATGCTGAGGTCAATTATCTTTTTGAAGGTCGTCTCATGAGGTCGGCCGTGTCACTCCCCATACAACTGTTGCACAACCCAACTAAGGCAACCGTAGTCCACCTTTTTTAGGTCTTCCATCTTCACGATGGTCAACTCATGAGGTTGACTACTTCCTTGAAGGTTATCCTATGAAGTCGACCACATTTCAAATGGTCATCCCATTAGGTTGATTTGAGTAATGAGGTCTTCCCCGAAGCTAACACCACGACATATACACATCCATCGAGTTACTCAATCATCCACTCGCTCGATGTGTGAAGTTGAAAGGCCACAATTATAGGACCTTTGCCCACATGATAGATAAGATAACCCTATTCACTACCCATGCCATGATGGGACCAATTTCTTTGGGTAAGGAGGCAAATTCACGATCCACCCAATGAGTTTCTGCTATTAAATCGAGTAACTAGTTTAGCTCAGAATGCTCGAGATTGCGTTTTACGAACATTATTCTTGTTCTCAATATGTGAGCTACACATGAGCTCTTAACGTTTGATGAACAAATTGAGATTAAAGATCAACTCCAAGTGTGGATATATAAAATGAGCAAAGCAGAAATAATTAATGTATTGCAAAATATTGATGATGATTCTAAGAAGATGGTTGCGTTTAGAATCCATAAAACTTTTTCCTTTATATATCCTTTTAGCATCTTTAATGTTGCCAATTGCAGTAGGCGCCATTGAAAAAGCCTTATATATAATAATTATTAACAATACTAATCTCTTCAATAAGATTGACGATGACCTCATTACTGATTGTTTGGTTCGCTACTGATCGATGGAGTATATTGTCATGTACCTAAAGGATCCAGAGATAGACAATTCATATCACACCCAGGTCACCTACATGGCTACAATCTACGTGGTGGGTCGACTTGTTCTGGTATGGGCTGAGCCACATCAACAAGGGTGAACCCAATTATTCATGTTTTAGGATCCACAATGACACTACCAGACGAGATCCAGTGGGCTTGAATGCTTGATCCGCCTCGGATCGACTGATGTTCCTACACTCAGCCATTCCCCAGACATTCAAGATATGTGTACCTAGGGTTTTGTCACAATTACTACTAATACCGACGTCACAGATGAGTTAAAGGGGCTTACATCTAGAGCTGTCAAACGGGCCAACCCGCCCCGACCCACCCCGACCCGCCCCGACCCGCGGCGGGTTATGAGTTTCACGGGTCGGGGCGGGCCAACCCGCTTACTATCGGGCCAGAATTTTTATGACCTTAACCCGACCCACCTAACCCACAGGTTATGGGGGCCAGCCCGCGGGCCATAAATGTAAAAAAAAAAACAATTAAATATCTAAATTAAAATCCCAACACAATTGAAATAGCAATTAAATATCTAAATTAAAATCCAAACACAATTAAAAAGGAAAAAATTAGTGCTTGAAAATCCTTTGGTTGTATGTTTGAATGTATCATCGTGGGTAACTGGTATACTTAAAAAGTTAAATGATTAAATACTTAAAAGCTTTAATATATTATCGTGGGTATAGTTAAGCTGAAATATCGCAAATACCTAATTTCTCATTTATTTAGTCTGATTTGGATATCATGAATAAAACAACATAGAAGTCCTTATGTTATAAAACAATATAGCAACGAATACATTAAAAATAAATTATTTAGTCTGATTTGGATATCATGAACAAAATACATTAGTATTAAAAGTGAGGAAAGAACTATAAGTAAAGAGAGTATAATAGAAGATATAATTGTCCTATATAGAAATAATAGAAGGGAAAATAACTTTAAATAATACCAATTATCTTCCATGAACCAAGAATAATACAAACTCGAGAAATAATTTTTAATAATACCAACTATTTGATTATCTAGCAAAAGTGATATATAGCAAATTTTCACCAAAAATTCATTTATTCAATTCATCAAAAACTAATATCAAAATATCAAATAAGTGATCATATTTTCAAATATCAATTATTTGATGATTTGATCTTAGTTTTTGATGTCTTAAATGATTGAATTTCTTGTAGAAAAGTGTCTCTATTTTATTTTTGGTTCACATCCAGATAGTTGATATTATTAAAAGTTATTTCTAAAGTACGTATTATTATTGATTTATCGAAGATAGTTGGTATTATTTAAAGTTATTTTCTCATAATAGAATTAAAAATACATAGAATAAATGATATTTGTCCTCAGCCCGTGGGTTGGCCCGCAACCCGTACGGGTTGGCCCGCTAAACCCGCAACCCGTTAGGGTTGACCCACTGAGCCCGCAAAACAATCGGGCTTGAAAATGATAGCCCTAACCCACTTATAAGTGGGTTGAAACGGGCCAACCCGCAGGTTTCGGCCCGTTTTGACGGCTCTAGTTACATCACTGCTGCAATCACAATCAGGTTCTAATCCGGTTCTAAAGCAAAGCCAAGTTGCCAAACCCCCTACCATTGTAGGTCAAACACGTACGTAGTAGCACTTAAGGAGTGTTTGGGGTTGATTAAAAAAAGTGCTTTTCAGCTTTTGGCTTAAAAAAAAGTTGAAAAGAGTGTTTTCAAATGATAGCTTCTGCTTAAATTAATCACTTAAAAGCTAAAAGCTGGAAGCAGGTAGAAGGGTGCTTTAAACTGCTTCTCACTTTTTCTATTACACAAAAAGTACTTATTTTACCAAACACTACCAACTTTTACTTTTTCATAATCACTTTTTTCTCAAACACTACCAACTTTTACTATTAATCACTTTTCCCAAAATCACTTTAAAAAATCACTTTTTAAAGTTGAAGCAATCGCAAACACTCTCTTAGTCTTTTTAGAACAGAGGCTTCCTCTCATAGTACCATGGTTTCATTGATTGTTTCTTTTAGTGGGTGCAGTTGTTTTGTGTCCTCATTTGCTTTTGCTGTACGTAGCTACTAGCAGCCTTTTGATTGATAAAAAATGATCTTCTACCCACTCTTATACCCACTTTTGTACTCATCTATGTTTTTCAATTGTTTTTTTTCTGTGAACCCTGGCTCACAGATAATATTTGCACAAACAAAATATTATCTATGAACCGGATTCACAAACAAAAAAAACTTCCACAAACATAGTGGATATAAGGTGAATATAAGAGAGAGCATTCTTCATTAATGGATCGCAACTTTTTCGGTTGATTGAAGCCGGAAAGTTTCAAGTCTATCCCAACAAAACTCGGTCCCACATTTGTGCACTCTGTTCCCTTCTAAATAGACGCATCAGTCGGCCAGAGAACCCAAGTTCCCCTTCCACTCATCCCGCACAAGAATCGTTCGACTTAAATAAAAAAACAAATCATAATTCACAGGTTCAATCAATTAATCAGAATTTAATGTTCATCAACTTTAGCAAATTCAGTTCATTCATACAGTTTCTGTGTTACTGAAAAGACTCTTAATGATCACTTACCACATTAGGTGACTCCTATTTTCGAATTATTGGTCTTATAAATTAAGAGCCTCTTTGGATAACTGAAATAGATTGAATTGACTGATTCTATTTAAATCGATTATGTTTTGGCTGAAGTGGCTGAATTATTAAAATATTATATTAAAATTAATTCAACCTTACTTATTTTGATCATTACTCTATTTAACGCGTGAAATAAAAAATTATGTGTTTGATGAAAAATTTGGCTAATAAGGCGAAAGTTGAGGTCATCAAACGGGTTCTACTTCTTTAACAAACATGAAATGATTATTTTTCACACGCTAAAATGTGTAATAATCAAAATAAATAATGATAAAACTACTTTTCTCTTTGAATTGATTGAAATCAGTATAGATGATCATTTAGCTTTTTTTATGTAATTTTTTTATATAGATTCAGGACGATTCAACTAATTTGTTACCCAACTGCGGCTTCCAAATTAAGTAATCAAGAATACTTGGTAAATATTTTTATACATACTCCAAACTTCTTTGTCACAAGTATTAAAAATTACTCCGTATTATATGCCAAATTAAGTGATCGATAGATAATATCTTTTCAAAAAAATTTAAGG